TTCACTATCAAGTGAGGGGAGTTTTACCACTGGTCTCTTTCCCAGTTGTAACCTCGCATCTCATTAGCTACACACACACACACACACACACACACACACACACACACACACACACACACACACACACACACACACACACACACACACAAAACCACTCTCTCTCTCTCTCTCTCTCTCTCTCTCTCACAGACAAACACACACACACACACACACACACACACACACACACACACACACACACACACACACACACACACACACACTCACACTCTCTCTCTCTCTCTCTCTCTCTCTCTCTCAGACAGACACACACATACACACTCTTTCTCTCACACACAAACATATACACCAAGAGACACACACACACTCTCTCTCGCTCTCACTCACTCTCTCTCTCTCTCTCTCTCTCTCTCACAGACAGACACACACATACACACTCTTTCTCACACACACACACGCACGCACGCACGCACGCACGCACGCACGCACGCACGCACACACACACACACATTATACCAAGCATTCGTAACATAGATAGAAAACCATTTGAAGAAACTGTAATAACATTTTTGTTATGAATGTTGTAAAAACTGAAAATAAAGTTAAAATATATATATTGCAGTATTTACATTGAAATAGATTTGAAGTAATAATTATAATAAATAATAATTGGAATGTCCCACATTAGAGCAGACTGTGATCTCGGTGTTGCAATGGAACCGTTTCCCTGTTCTTCAGACACTAACATCTCTCTTCTTTTAGGCATCCAGCAGGCAAACGAGGAACAGCTGAAGCTCATGGCCTCCGAGCCTCACAGAACTCACATCTTTAGCGTCTCTGACTTTAACTTAATCAAGAGTGTGCAGAGCAAACTCGTCTCTCAGGTGTGCGCTGGCGTCGACGATCAACTCAACTCACTCGTCAGCGGAGAAGAAGGTGAGATGTGGTGAAGAAATGTGAAATAAGTGGAGTAAATAATGCGTTACAGGTTTCTGCCTTCTGTTGTCCTTTCTTGCACATTATCTAAAAAAGTAGATTTCTTGTCACTAGTTAAATGAAGAGATATCTATCTAATGTTTGCACGCTAACATTAGACTAGAGCTAGCTGGTAGCATAGCTTAGCATAAAGACTGAAAATGGGGAAACAGTAAGTCTACATCAGTCCAAACGTAACAAAACCCCTCTAACTTATTCTTATTCTTGTTTTATGTAGTTATTTCAACCCATAAATCTTTGGACAGAGCCAGGCGAACGGTTTCCACCTGTTTCCAGTCTTTATGCTAAGCTAAGCTAAGCTAACCGTTTGCTGGCCCCAATTTCATATTTAGAAGACGTAACAATAGTATCAAGCTCCTCATGTAACTCTTGCCATAACTACTCCTTATTGACATGTCATCATTATTCCTTTTTATATCTGATTTTCATAGCTTTTTAATAATGTTTTAGTCAATTATGAAGCAGAATAAAAAGCCCTTAAGTTTCTCCTGCCAACACAATGGAGACAAATGTGGTTAAATCTATCGCATAATGAGAGTTAATCATTCTATAATTGCTAATTTTGGCAGTTGTTGAGCCAGCGTCCAAGTCCTGGAGGTATCAAGCTCCTCATGGAACTCTTGCCATATGTTTGAGATATATAACTACTCCTTATTGATATAGATATAATAATAACTTTGATAATTGAGATGTCATAATAATCCGTTTTATAGCTTATTTTCCTAGTTTTCTTTAAGCAAATGTTTTTGCCAAATGATCAAGCCTTTAAGATTCTCCTGCTATAAGGCAACACAATGGAGACAAATGTGCTTACATGTATTGCATAATGAGAGTTAATCATTCTATAATTCCTGTTTTTGGCAGTTGTTGAGCCAGCGTCCAATCTCCAAATCCTGGAAGTCGCCTCAAAGTCGTTGCGGTTGATGTGGGACGCCTCCATCGGAGAGGTTTCGGGATACAAGGTTCAGATGATCCCGATGATGGCTGGAAGCAAACGGCAGGAGCTCTACGTTGGTCCGACGCAGACCCAGGTGGTGGTCAGAGATCTTTCCCCAGACACAGAGTACCAGATCAGTCTGTTCGCTTTGAACAGCCTGATGCCCAGCGAGCCTCTGACCCTCATGCAGACAACACAACCCGTTAAAGTGTCACTGGGTGAGTACGAAATAGTGGAGGTACAATCTCCAAACTGGCCTTTTATTGCATTTTCTGACACAATGGAGGTTTGTCCTTTACACCGGACACTAAGAGGGTTTCTGCAAAGTCTTCAAAGTTCAAGAAAATACTTTATCGTTTTATTTTAAAGGAATACGGTATGGTTAACTCAATTGCATGCTTATACTCGGTATGCTTGCATTGTTTAATCTGTGAAACAAGCTTGTTTTGCATGAACACAAATATTTGTATGTGTTCTCATTGAATCTAGTCAATAACAACCTTTAACAATATTCTAGGTATCATTGAACCTATCAGATGCTTCTCTAAAACACATAGAGGAAAGGTCTTATAACACAAGCTTTAGACAGATGTTAATGTGTTCTCACTGAATCAACTGTCGACTCCGAACAAGCAGCAAAAACTAGATTGTTCCCCGTTATTAACTTGTGTTACGTCTTCCTTATTGCAATAGTAATTATTATATGTTAGTTACACTGTTACATGTGCACATGTAGGCCTAAGTCTTAAGTTTTGGCTATAGGCTTTTTTTGAGTAACGACCCCATCAATGGTGACAACCTTTAACAATATTCCAGGTATCATTGAGCCTATCAGTTGCTTCTCTAAAACACCCCGAGGAAAGGTCTTATAACACAAGCTTTAGACAGATGTTTTCTCTTTGAAGCCAATCCATTACAACCTTGTCTTGTGTCTTTCTGATCTCAGAGTGTTCTCTTGGCGTTGATGTCCAAGCCGATGTGGTCCTCCTCGTCGACGGTTCCTACAGCATCGGTCTGGCTAACTTCGCCAAAGTGAGAGCGTTCCTGGAGGTGCTGGTTACCTCCTTCGACATCGGACCAGATAAAGTCCAGATCAGCTTGGTTCAGTACAGCAGGGACCCTCACACCGAATTCTACCTGAACACCCACCACGATCAGAGCGCCGTAGTGAAGGCGGTGAGATCGTTTCCGTATCGTGGCGGATCCACGAACACCGGCAGGGCGATGACTTACGTGAGAGAGAAGATCTTCCAGGCCAACAGAGGAGCGAGACCCAACGTTCCTCGAATAAACATCCTCATCACGGACGGGAAATCCTCCGACGCCTTCCACAATCCGGCCACCAAACTGAGGAACGCCGATGTGGAGATATTTGCGGTGGGCGTTAAAGATGCCGTGAGAGGCGAACTGGAGGCCATCGCCAACGAGCCGGCGGAGACACATGTTTACACCGTGGACGACTTTGATGCCTTCACCAGGATTTCCAAAGAGCTGACGCAGTCCATCTGCCTGAGGATCGAGCAAGAACTACGAAACATCATCCAAAGACGTAAGTACTGTCGCTTCAATACTCTATGCTGGTGATACCATGCTTTCTACTCAAGATGTTCAGAGCAACGTGCAGAGAAACATTGGATGTCATTTATTACTTATTTATGTTCTGGTTTTGATTCAGAAGATAATAATGTTGAAAGCAAATATCTTTTTCCTTGATGATAGAATAAGATTCAACTTCTTTTGAGCAATCTGCAGAGAAACATTGGATCTACAGTATTCTGTTTTATACTTATTTATTCCATCATTTACTGGTTTGATTCTGGTTTGAGGCAGAAAATAATCATGTTGAAAGCAAATACCCTTTACTAGTATTTGCCTTTATACTCTATGCTGGTGATACCATGCTTTACTCAAGTTGTATTTAGCAATCTGCAGAGAAAGATTGAATCGATTCTGTTTTCTTATCATTGATTACGCATTTATCGCATCATGTTCTGGTTCCATCAGAAAATAATCATGTTGAAAGCAAATACATTTTACGAGTATTTGCATTTATACTCTACGCTGATGATACCACACTTTACTTCTTTTGAGCAATCTGCACAGAAAGATTTAGACCCCGTTTACACGAGAACAAAACGGGTTGGATCCGCATAGTTTCTCTTGCGTATAGCCCTTTCATTTACACGAGGCCGTAACAAAACGATAGAAACGGACCCCACAAACGATAACGGGTCCCAAGGTGGATAGATTTGCAAACGAAACGCTCTGGGGGGTCAAACGGCTCTGTGTAATCGCCTCTATACGATCATTTCCTGAAAAAATAACGATAGCCCCGCCTCTCCCCGCCTCCCCCCACCTCTTATACTCGCTGCTTTTGGTTTATTTTGTGGCGGAAGTTACAGCGCCAGTTACAGGCCCGGCATATGTACTACGGCGTTTCCAGCGTTCTCGTGTGAACAGACACGTCAAATTAAACGAACACGTGTGAACGGAAGACTTTTTTGAAAACGCATACTGTGCATAAACGCAAACGTTCCCGTGTGAGCGGCACCTAAATCGATTCTGTTTTCTTGTCATTGAGGACTTATCTTTTCTATCATTTACTGGTTTGATTCTGGTTTGAGGCAGAACAGAAAGCAAACATTAGCCTCAAATATGTGTGCAAAAAGGCATTTTGCGATTCTCTTTCGTCAAAAGGATAAACCAACGTAACAATCTGTGTATATCCATGTACGATTGGGTGTTTTCTACTGGTTTAAACTGAAGTTGCCTAATTTCAGCTGTAAAGGTGGATAATATGAATTACATGGTTTGAGTGTAGTTCCAGTTCTGCGCAGACATCACTTGTCTGTCATTTGTCACACTGGGCGAGGCAGCTGAGGCTCAGTCATGCAGTATAATCAAGTGTTTGGAGGATGAGTTGTTTTACCCTTGTGTATCCATTGTTTGGTAGTGGGAATGGTTTACTCAATTGCATGCTTACACTTGGTTTTCTTGCATTGTTTATTCTGTGAAACAAGCTCGTTTTGCATTAACCGAAACGTTCAAACCATGGAGATCCAAGATATCAGATTAACCTCTTAGTGTCCAAACTAGGGATGTCCCGATCACCTTTTTTTGCTTCCGATTCCGATCATTTGATTTTGACAATTTGCCGATACCGATTTTTCCCGATCCGATCTTTATGCAATGCATTAAGAGAAAAAAAAGCATTCAAGTTGTCCCTTAAGGTTATTTTTTAATTTAAATTGGATATTCTATCCAACATGGATATAGCTTCTTTCTTTCACAGCAGCATTGGATCAGTTCAGTTGTGCAGCATTGGATCAAAACAAAATAAAGCTTATCAGTACTCGTTAGCTTACTGCTACAATTAGACACTGCGCCCTGCCCACTCTGTTGCCAGATTTGAGAGAAAGAAGCAGGTCTATGAAAACAAGCCCCAAAGAAGCAACACATACATGATGTTGTGTCATTTGAAACCAAAACTAAGGCCTCAGGATGACTTTAAGACTTGAATATGTTCGTTTTTGTTTTGTAACATTGAATAAAAAAATTAATAATAATAATAAAAAATAAAAAATCCGATCCCCGATTTTTTTGTCCCAATTCCGATCTTCGGAAAATCACGTGATCGGCTCCGATCCCCGATCACGTGATCGGATCGGGACATCTCTAGTCCAAACAATTAAAATGTTCGCTAACTTTAAATATCAGTAAGAAGAACTTGTTCCAGTCATAGAAATCTCAAAGTTTGAACTGTTTTCCTCATAATTATGTATTAAAAACAACACTAAGCTCTTTGATATTTACTTTCAGTTTGTTTCTCAGCATATTTCATGAAACCTGATCAGCTGCAACCGTTTTTAGAAAATAAGAAATGTACTTTATTTAATGTTTATGTGCTGAGAAGACTAATAAATACTTTTCATAAGTGCTGGGAATTTAAGTGTGAGAACTACCTGTCAGCGTTTATGATTTAGAGCATTTGAAGTGATCAAACCAACATTTGAACAATTAATGACTGCCTCAGTCAGACGATACTCTGAGGAGGAGAACACAGAGCGGCACCAACACATGCTCACAATTACCTCATGTCACATTTCCTTTTTTCCACCGAGCCCTCCTCCTCCTCTTCGCCTCATGTGTTTAACACATGTCCGGCTTCTTGATCTTTCAAGGGCAGAGAGAGGTTCCTGCATGTGGAAGTATCACAACTGGGTCAAATAGTGCAGAGATTTCTTTGCATTTGTTTAAACGACTGTCAGGTGTGCTGCCCGTCACGTGTCCGTAAGCAATACTTTGAAATGCATCCTCCTCCGCGCTGAAGTCATTATCCAACCCCCGAACATCTGGTAGTCAAGAGTTCCTCACAAATGCACTTTTTAACCCACTTAGAGTCAAACATATAAATTACTCTCCATCTAACTTCGCCAATAGGTCTGCCAGCAGAGTGTGACTCACACCAGCTTTGATTGCCGATTATATCATTCTTATATAATAATCACTTGTCAACAAAGAGACGTGTGCAGAAGCCAACATATGGATTTCACAGCAACCCCCCCCCCCCCTCCTGTTGTTTGAAAGATGGAGCTGTCAGACGGCTTGTAGATTATTATTCATCTTAATTAAATAGCATGTAGGTCAGCACGTCTTCCCTCTGGATTCCTTCATTTGCTTTCTCTCTTTGAAGGAAGTCTTGGTGGTTTTTCCACAGTTCAAACTTTTAATCAAGATAAAGTGTTAGCTTCCATTGACCATGATACAAAATAAATACTAGCTGAAGTCAACGCTGCTTTAAGAATGTTGTCCCTGCTGTCAGACAGCCCTGCGTGTCGGGGACATGAGACCATTATTTATCCTTTGTTTAAAACCACCAGACTCCTTTCACTAAAACAGTCATTGTACTTTACACCACACAGCCCTACCCGGTCTACTTTAAACAGAGAAATCCCTGTTTTTTTCAACGGAGTCTGGAAGTTTTGAAGAGAGCATTGATTTTATATGAAGTACACATCTGGCTTTTGGCTTGTTTATGGATACAGAAGATATCATTTAGTTGGCATTAAGATGTTTAATATTTGTCCTGAACTCATGTTGGTTTGGTTCTCTTGATTCCTAAACCATATATATCTCTAACATCACTACGTACATTAAGATGTGACATATAAACTCAACTAAAGCAGAGGATGATTCATGATGCTACTGCCTCTATATAAAGTACCATCACAAATCATCATCCCAACCTTTCTTGATTTGCTTCATGGTGTTTTCAAAATGTATTTATTGGGTTTTCCAAAAGCACACTGTTCTTTAATTTGTATTTCTTTCATTTGTCAATTTATTGAACATGTTAGAAACAAAATAAATAATAATAAATATTTTAATAATTATAACAAAAAGAAGCAACAATTAAAAAATTTAAAAAACGTGTAAGGTATAATCAAATAAAAAAATATATTCTCAGTTTCCTTCATGTTCAAAAGGGGCAAGAAGAAGCTTAAAAACGTTTCTGGTCCTACTCTAGCTTACATTGTTCATGAAAATACAAGTTCAGGTCATCGTCATCAGCATCCGTTTCATTGATTTAAACAAATCATTCCTTTGTACAAAGCAAACGAAAGCAAATACATTTTAAAACGACAAGAATTAGCAAGCATGAGTTCACATGTCCTGCTCAGAACCATTCAGGATTTGGTTTCTAATCCATTGTTTTAGTTTAGATTGCACAGTATTTCAGCTCATCATTTCAGTTATATTATTAACACCTTTTGTTTTGACGAAATATAGTTTGGAATTTGTTCGTATGTGTGTTTTTTTTAATAAGCAGTTGAAATATTGCTGAATTGACCTTAATTTAAACCTTATAATCCCCCACTTTCTGCAGGCCTGACCCAGCCTCGGGACCTCTCGTTCTCTGAGGTCGGCTCCAGGAGTTTCAGAGCCGCTTGGGAAATGGACGCCACAGATGTCGAGTCCTACTTGGTCCGCTTCAGGCCGGAAAACGGAGACGACGGGCATTACGTTTCCATGTCCGTCCCCGGAGAAACTCTCACTGCTGTCCTCCCTCACCTCACCCCTCTCACCCGCTACGAAGTCAACGTTCAAGCCCAGTACGCCAAAGGGAACAGCCTTCCTGTGACCGGCTTTGAGACCACTTTAGAAGGTATGTAGACTTTTTTTTAAGCTTGCAAATACTGTGGTGCATGTATCCTGAGTCCTAAAACCCAGAAATGAGTCAGCATTTTACCACTTCCTGTCCCTTGGTCTGGAAGTCAATGGTTTTTCTGGATGTGTTTTTGTTTGTTAGCCGGAAATAAGGTCTGTGGTTAACACAAGCTGAAGAGATTTTAATTTTACGACATAAAATACTTCCGTAAATACCCCACTGGCGGATTTAAAAACAGTGGTTGCTAACAAATGTCTAAATGAGACGACTAAACGTTGTCTCCTTTAGCTTAGCGGTGGTGACGTGAAGTCATGTGACCGTGCTGTAGTTCCTTTATAGCCCAACATTAGCCTAGCATGGGGAATGTGAAGTCATGTAACCATAGTTTAGTTTATAGCTTAACACTGCTACAGAAATGCATTATCATGCACCAGCAGTAATGCTAACGTAATTCTTTAATATTTGTTGCAGAACGAGGCTCCGTGCAGAACCTGAGAGTTTCCGAAGAGACGACAGACAGCTTCAGAGTGTCATGGCAGCCGGCTCAAGGAGACGTCACTCGCTACAAATTGACGTACGAACCTGTAGGAGACGAGAGATCGAGGCTGGAGACGACCACCGCTGGCAGAGAGACGGCCATCGTGCTGCAGGAACTTCAGCCTAGAACCAAATACCGGGTCACCGTCACGCCTGAATACACATCCGGCTCCGGAGTGCCACTGGACACTGAAGGCACCACCAAAGAAGGTAAAGATAAAAATAAAAGAAGTACTTTATTGATCTGGTGATTGTTTGCGTTGCAGCAGCATACAAAGACATGGCATTATACATGAGAGAAGTTAAAAGACAAGAAATACACAATCCAAAATGCAAACATCTTAAATAGAAATAACATAGCATTAAAAAAGTAGACAATATACATTTTGAAAAACAAGTTTACAACAACAAAATATAAAGTAGTATATTATATATACATTAAGTGTGTAAGGAATTCCAACTATTTTTGATTTTAATAAATGAAAAGACAACAGTATAAAACACGTCACCACCGCTAAGCTAAAGGTGGCTAATGTTCGGCTATAGAGGAACTACAGCACGGTCACATGACTTCACGTCACCACCGCTAAGCTAAAGGTGGCTAATGTTGGGCTATAAAGGAACTACAGCACGGTCACATGACTTCACGTCACCACCGCTAAGCTAAAGGTGGCTAATGTTGGGCTATAAAGGAACTACAGCACGGTCACATGACTTCACGTCACCACCGCTAAGCTAAAGGTGGCTAATGTTGGGCTATAAAGGAACTACAGCACGGTCACATGACTTCACGTCACCACCGCTAAGCTAAAGGTGGCTAATGTTGGGCTATAAAGGAACTACAGCACGGTCACATGACTTCACGTCACCACCGCTAAGCTAAAGGTGGCTAATGTTGGGCTATTAGCGAATTTTAGGACTAATTTTTCACATTTCCTGTCTTTATTCTAGTGTTAGCAGTGATAGCTGTTTCCCCATTGTCAATAAAGCTCATTAGAATTTACGAAAATATGCTCCATATTATTTCAGATCTTGACTCAATCATCACATCTAATCTGTTTCTACTGTATCAAAAGCAATCCAGGAGTTGTTTGTATCTCCATGGTGACGGAGCAAACAAAAATAGCTAGTAGCAAAAACAGCTCTACTTCACATGGAGCAGATTATTCAAACTATAAACAATAGTAAGAACAAAATTAAACTGGGCTCAGGGTCAGTGTGTGGTAATAACGGCAATGTGTCAGACGCATGGGGAATGTACTCCTCCTGTTCGCATTAACACGATCATGATGCATTATGGGAAATGTAGTGCAGACACTCAAAATGTATTAAAGCTAAACAAAACAAGCAAGAGTAGGGAGGTCCGTTTACGCTAATGTGATAAAAAAAGATCATGTTAGGCATTATAAAAAGGTATAAAGTATATCTAGAAACAACCTAATGTTTAATACAAAGATAATATGTATTTTAGGAGAGAACAAACTGCTGTTTGAGACTATCTTTATGACATTAAATAGGTCATAGTCCACATGGCTGACAGGCATTTCAATATTTCATGTTTTTCATGTGCAAAAATGTAGAAATGTAGAATTTCATCTTTTTCTGCAGAATTACAAAAGAAACACAATTTCTAACAAAAATAAATTCAAAATGTTGAGCTATGAATTAATTTTATGATTGTAGTGTAGCTAAAAATGTCCCAACAACAAGGTTCCTTTACATTATATTACATGTTCAGACGCATTTATCCAAAGTGAGTTACAATAGGTGAATAAACCATCAAGATACAAACTCAGAACAATAAGAAACGTACAGATATATTCGTTTAAAAAAGCCAAACCATTTCCAAGATCCAGTGGAAACAGGTTTCACAAAATCTTTAAAACATTATTTCTTTGTGATGGAAATATAGTAAATGCCATGACTCTATGAACTCCAAAAGGTGGCGAGTCTTTGTTCCAAAACCACAAAAGATGTTGGGTCAGAAGTTTGATCTCTGAAACCTGAGCTGCTGGTTAGGTAATGGTTGAGTCACCGGTTCTGATCCACAACAGGTGCCTCTGTTTGTGCTTTGGGACAGTTCAAACTATGTCAAAAAAAACCTTTGAAATGATGGATGATGAAAACATTCTGGGTGCAAGCTGTGTTTCCATCTATCTGCGTCATTCACAGACCCCGGTGGAAATCACTGCAGACGTCTTTCTGACATCTTGACTGACTCTATTTGGCTTTTTTAAAACTTGTCATCTGCCATTTGGCGTTTGCTTTTCATTCCTACGTGGCCTGGGAGTGCCAGGACTCCAAACTTTTCTGACCTCCTCACATTTTAGAGGTGTTAGTACAAGCTGCCACCCATCGGGCTTCAGATCTGCCTTACAGGGGAAGGAATGGAAAACAGACAGAAGCACAGCAAGCTGCCGGCCAAGATGTACTAGGTGGTCATAAACAATGAAGAGGGAAGAGTAGGCAGGGGTGGGAAGTTACAAAGTACATTTACTCAGTACTTAAGTACAATTTGGAGGTACTTCACTTGAGTATTTCGATTTTAAGCTACTTTGTAATTCTACTCCTTCAGAGGTACATGGTGTACTTTGACATGTATTTAATACCTTTAGTTACTTCACAGATCTGGATAAATGATGTGAAATCTAATCAAGTGTTAAATCAGACTTTAGTTCCACCTGGAGTAAATCCACCAGCTACCCTGCAGTATACAAAGTCATTCAAACTAGCTGCACCTTTACCAGCTTTGAGAACACTTTCATGATCAATCATTATAAAACATATCATATATATTATTCTGAAATGGACCAATCTGCACAATGACTACTTTTACTGTCGCTACTTTCACTATATTTTGATGAGAATACTTTTCTACTTTCACTTGAGAAACATTTTGAATGCAGGACTTTTACTGTAACAGAGTATTCCTACACTCTGGTACTTCTACTTTTACTCAAGTACAAGATCTGAGTACTTCTACTTTTACTCAAGTACAAGATCTGAGTACTTCTACTTTTACTACAAGATCTGAGTACTTCTACTTTTACTCAAGTACAAGATCTGAGTACTTCTACTTTTACTACAAGATCTGAGTACTTCTACTTTTACTCAAGTACAAGATCTGAGTACTTCTACTTTTACTCAAGTACAAGATCTGAGTACTTCTACTTTTACTCAAGTACAATATCTGAGTACTTCTACTTTTACTACAAGATCTGAGTACTTCTACTTTTACTCAAGTACCAGATCTGAGTACTTCTACTTTTACTCAAGTACAAGATCTGAGTACTTCTACTTTCACTCAAGTACAAGATCTGAGTACTTCTACTTTTACTCAAGAACAAGATCTGAGTTACTACAAGATCTGAGTACTTCTACTTTTACTCAAGTACAAGATCTGAGTACTTCTACTTTTACTCAAGAACAAGATCTGAGTACTTCTACTTTTACTCAAGTACAAGATCTGAGTACTTCTACTTTTACT